GGATCCAGACAGATGCGCACGGCGACAGTTGCGCACGGAGACGCTGAGAGCTATGGCCAAGGCTGTAAAGTGCGGATGTGAGTGTGGGTGAGGACAAAGGTGAGGGTGAGGGCGGTGAACTTGAAACGGTTTGTTTCGCTTCGAAACGCTCATTTTTCGTTCCGTGCGCATCTGTCGTAGACCCCACACACCCATACCCACCCACACCCACCCACACCCACACCCACACCCCACACCCACCCTCTGTTTTCATATTTTCCACTTTGTGGGATTGTAAGAGGTAATCAGTATATTCAGGATGAAGCTGCTTACCAACGGAGAGAGGCTTGTTATAAATCAATAGAAAGTTAAGTAGAATTATCAAGGTAAACATCTCCAGAGTACATCACTTGACTCAGTCTGTAGGTGGTAAGACGAATCGAGTATAGTGACCCCGCTAAATCTCTCATTGCAAGATTGCATATCAAGTGCATTATTTAAATAGCTTGCAAAATAGTTAATTTATACATTGCACTTGTAAAAATTATACAGCATGCTGCATACTCATATATAGTCTCCAATAGGTTTCAGTGTGATGGTTAGGTATGGTTAAGTTTGAGAATGCGTTTGTTTATAGAACAAGAATCCACATTTTATTAGGTTGGCACATAAGTTTTGCACGCTTTTTTGGTGTTGTAGGCAAATTTTTGGCCTTGTATCTCATGATTAGAAAGTGATAGAGGAGCAAAATTTTTAGTGTAGATAGAGCTTTATGACTTCTATCTACACTGAAAATTCTAGACCTCCGTCAATTTCTAATCCCGAGATCCAAAGCCTCAACTTTGCTTAAAACACCGTAAAAGAACGTGCAGAACTTATATGCCAACCGGACAGAAATTCGTCAAGCTAACTAAGAATCACTGCGCGAGAGAGACAACCGAATGCCAATATAGCTGCTCAATCGATAGTCTTAGATTTTGATGAAAGTTATCCCATTTTATAGAGCAAAGTGTTTTAGATATAGATCCATATTTTTAGACTTTAAGGTTCAACTTTAACTGAGATATGCTCATCCGACTAATAGCACCCAAAATAGAGTTTTCTTAATATGAGAAATTTTTTATTAATCTCTTCTGTAAGCTATTTTGACGATATCTCGTCATCAGTACGCGATAGAGCTCTAAAATTTTAACCAGATATACATTTTGAGATGTGGAATATAACCATCATATTCAATAACGTCCATATCTTCAAAAAGTATGACTGAATTTTGTGAGATCATCCCTGATTTCCCTACATGTTAGGGTCAAAAATAGCGTATCTTTATAATAGACTGTCTCCAGATTAGCGTGATAGAATTTGCTGATTTTTTTTCTCAAAGACTACTAACCTGATACTACTTAAATATGCAATCAAAGCTTTGGGATCTTGAAATTTGCTTCAACAAGTGTTAGCACCAAATATCACTATCTTGTTTATGGGTCAGTCCACATAAGTCACGACTGGTTTCTACAAAACTGCTCAATCGAGGTCGTCCAATTTTGCTCAATTTAATATATGTTGTAGATGTAAGAGTTCTAAGAAGTTTGACACAAGCCGTTTGAAAAAATATTGTTCCATTCTCGAGATATTGAAACTTTTCTGAGGGTACTATCGTCAAAACAGTGCATTTTTTGTCATTTTTTTGTGACATCTTTATCTCATCAAGGATACATGCAATTGACTTGGATTTTTTGCTGTGAATAGATATCATAATTGCGTATTATCGGAAAAAAATACGAGCTCAAATAGATAAACTATTGAAGAGTTCCGCAATACTATCAGGTACATTGGAAAATAGTTATTTTTCAGTATTTTGTGCATATGCTTGTCTCATGAAGGAATCGTGTTAGAAAGTTGAAATATTGGCTATGGAAAGATCTCATTGAGTATATAGTCCAGTAAAGGGTGTGGGTGTGTGGGTGTGGCTGTGGCTGTGTGAATCTCTACCCACACTCACACCCTCACCCACACTCACACCCACACTCCACACCACACACCCACACCCACCCACACCCACACATTACCCTCACGTAACGGAGTATATTAATTCATCTTTGTCATCTTATCAATAGTTGTCCTTTTGTTTGTCATAATATTACATTAGATTGTAAGAAGTCTTTGTTCTGTAGAATCTTTACTTTTCCACGAGTTCTGACGGCTGACTAATGAATCTGTATATGTATTACTGAACTGCTCGATCATGAACTAGGAATAAATTACTTTTATTTCTTCTAGATTCATCTTTATCTTGTTGGACATTTCTTTTTCACCTCAATACAGTCTATAGTTACATTATAAAATTAAAGAATCAACCAATATTCTGAACACAAAATCAAATCGTCAAATCCATTCAGTTTCTAAATCCTGTGACAAATACTAGCGACAGTGTATTTTCTGTCGAAGCACGACGAAGTCAACGTCTTTACGATTGATACACTCAGGAGATTTCATAACTGCCTACTACGAAAGTTATTATATTCAAGCACGTTTATTAACTGGGTTAGAACGACTCGCATTAACAATTTCCTGAACACGTTTCAAATTGATTGATATATTAGTTATTGGTAATAGGTATTGTGGAAAGTCCATTAAAACAACATTTCAAGGAAACAAACAGGTCATTTTCAGGGAATTGCACTATACTTATTCTGTACGATCTTATTTTTGTCCAAGTGCTAGAAGACAAAATCAAGACGATCGAAGAAGTAGTGCTAGTCTGACTATTGATAACTTAAAATTATCAAACACATCAATTGTTGATTAATTCAAGGATGAATCAATCCTTCACTTCAAACCCTGAAGACCATAAATCAAGTAGAAATTCTACTGAACATGAACAATTCAATAGCTCAAAGAAAAAAAATGGAAATGTTTCGACAACAACTGCATACATTCTTACAGACGGTAAAAAGTTTGAATTGCGCGAACTCGAAAATCAATTAAAAAATAGTTTAGCAAAATGTAAAATCAAAGAGATGACACAATTAGGTGAAAGAACGAAGCGAACAGAAGAACGAATTCAACAGTATAAAGATGAAGATAGAAATGATGAAGCTAAGATAGAAGAAAAATATTTAAATGCATTAAAACAATTGAAAGATCTTAGTGAAGAAATATCTTTAAAATCTGCTTTACTTCTTTCACAAAATATCGACAAATTAGACTTGAGCGAACTAGAAAATCGATTGACATATGGTTTAGAAAAATACAAGATTAAAGATGTGACACAGTTAACAGAAAGAATTAAACGATCGAAAAAGCGAATTGAACAGTATGAAGACGAGGATAGAACAGATGCAGCTGAGCAAGAAATAAGATATGTGCGTGACTTGGAACAATTACAAAGAATCACGGAAGAGATATTTTATCGAAAATCTACTGAGCCTATTTTGAAAAATGATGATGCACTGCACCAGAAAACGCGTGCAGAAGAAATAATAGGAAATGTAAGTGATAGTAGAACTTTCCGTGAAGAAGAAAATAAACGAGCAGATCTGAAAAATTTACTTGACGATTTGGCCCATATGCCCTATTGTGCTGAGAAAACTATCATGGAACTTTTAGCAGATTTTCAACAGACATTACTTAGAGATTGCATAGTTAACAAAATGCCCGATTCAGTCATTATGAAATTAGGAAAATTGCAAGATCAAATTCAAAAGGAAGAACTATTTTCAGAACAAATCAAAACTTATCTTCAAGATTTAAATCAAGCCATACATAACGAAGATTGTTCATCTATAGTGCGTATATTAACTAATCTCTTAAAGAAAACTCGACCTTTATATCTACAGGAGATACAAAGACTCATAGAAAAAACAAAAAAGACAGCTGAATTAATCAGTGATAAAGACATTATTCTATTAGTAGGTATTACTGGTAGTGGAAAATCGACGACAATTCAGTTTCTTACTGGTGCGAAGATGAAAGACACACTAGTAGAAATCGCTCCTGGACGTTTCTTAGAACATATAACAATATATGGACCTGTCAGGAATGTTGGATTAAATAGTGTAACAAGTAGTCCGCTGAGCAAGTCCGAAACTCGATATATAATACCCATTACTGTAAAATTAGAAGATATTTTTGGTCTTCATGAGACTGGAGAGATCATTTTATGTGACGCTCCAGGTTTTGGTGATACGACAGGCCCAGAGGTCGATATTGCTAATAGCGTAGGGGTTATTGAAGCTCTCAAAAATTGTAAGAGTGTTAAGATACTTGCTCTATCAAGCTATAGAAGTTTAGGAGATAGAGGACAAGGCATTCAAAAATTAGCACACATTTTGATTAACATGATTCGTGGAATTGAAGATAGACTTTATGGTATTCTGTATGCATTCACAAAGTATCCTTCAACAACAGATATTCATGCACTGTTATCCGATATTAAAGCTTCGAAAGTAGACACAGATCCTTTGTTGCAATCGGATAATGTTTTTGTAACAGTATTGACAGACATGATTGATAAAACTAGAAATGGCGTTGAAAAAATTGATCCCATTCATGGTAATCCGAAAAGTTTAATTCAAAAGCTCAAGTCTCTAAAAGGTATTTACTATCCAGGAGAAGTTATTCGATTTTCAATGAGTGAAGAAACACAAAATATTATTTTAAATCAGGTAGAAAAATACAAATTGAGTATTATGTGTGCATTAAAACACAAAGACATTGATCTTATAATGTATTGTTTCAATAACTTTAAGTTCTTAAGTGACTTGATAAAGCAAAGTTTTGTTCGAGATGCATATGAAGATTCGATACGATTTATAAGTGAAAATATTCAGCAATATTGTACAGATGTGATAGAAAAATTCAATCGTTATTTAGTTAGTCAAGATGGATTGAAAGAAGAAGACATTCGAGAGTATAAAACTGCTCATAATTACATCCAACAGATTCAAAATTTAAAAGAACATTTAGGATCAAAATTAGTATCTTCTAAAGTATTCATCGAAAATATTCTTTCTAAATTAGAAAAAAGAAATATTGAATTGCAAGAACAAGATTTGTACAGTCCTTCAATTAGAATATACTTAGATAATTTTCGTCTACTTCAAAATTCATTTAATGACCTTGAATCATATTACAAAAATATATGTCAAGATTTTACTGAGCGTTTTGAATCCACATTAATAAAATCCGTACCAGAACTCATTTCAAAGAATGAATGTAAACAAGTAGCTGAAAGAATTTATATTATATCACGATGTTTACCCATTTTAAATTATCATTTAAATGGAAAAGTCGAGGAAAATTATCATGATATTATTAAATTGATGTTACAACATTTAAATAGTTTTTCTGAAGAAACAAATTCTATTTTAATGAAAATCACATTAAATAATGATGATATTAAAATTCTTCATGATTATATGATACTTTTGAGTTCAGCTAAAGAAACATCTTTACTACAAAATCAAATATTTGAATATATAGAAATTATGAAAATAAAAAATAATATTTCTATTGAAACTATTAAAGATTTAAATAAAATTTATGATGAATTTATTGTAAAAATTATCAAATATTTTAATGACATTAATTTAAGAATTGAAGAACTTTTAAAAAACCATGGACCTTATGCGTTTGAAGATATCGAACGATTAGTTATTCAAATGGAAATGATCCGTACCTTACCTGATGTTGAATCAAAAACTGCTCGAACATTTTATCATAGTATACAAAATATACGTGGATATATGCAACAATTACAAAGAGATGCAGAAAATGTACTTCATACTCTTGATCATCAATCAGGAGTGATTGATTTTCGACCTCTTTCACGATTATTATTACGTTTAAAAAAGACCGAATGGATCGATCGGATTTGTGAGGGCACTTATAATTCGATGATTCGTCATATCAGAGACGAATTAGAAGAGCGTGCTAATCAGTTAGAAAGTCGTTTGATGAGATTAGATTTGAGTTTAAAATTCCCGGAAAATATTCGTTTAGCACTGGAAATTATTGAAAAAATCGAATCGATGAATATTTTAGAAAATACTATTCCAATATTGAAGAACTATCGAGATCGAATAAATGAATATTTTATTAAAATTATCAACGAAGTTTTCAATCATATTAAAAAAACTTTCAATTTCGCAAATAAAACTATAGATCATCTTAAACAAGAATTGATCGAAATAGAACAAATAAAAAATGAATATGATACTTTGTATCCAGCTCGTAGTTATTTAAGAAAATTTGGATACTCAGATAGAGATATATTGAATCAAAAAATTGAAAATTTAAGAGTCCAACACGATGTAGAACTCAAAGAAGCAGAAGCTGAAAAATCTCGAATGGAATCTCAATTAGATAATTTTAATATAACTATTAGACATTATCAACATTTAACTTCATCAAAAATAGGTTTTGGAATTTTTGGTAGATTGTTTAACACAATAGGAATAGGAGTTGAGCGAGTTGATATTCAACCAAATGAATATTTAAAACAAAAGGGATACTTAAACATTGAAATCTTCAACGACACTATGACAAAAGTTCAGAAAGATTATGATAAACAATTACGATTGATTGAGCAAAGACGTACAGAGTTTAATAATACTTTAACACATTTTGAATCAATCATCAAGGAATATGATTCGTTATTAGCTTCAAGTAATTTAATTTCTTCTGAAGTAATAGATTTTCTACAAGAGAAAGGACAATATAGTTACGAATTACTTGAAAAAACTATTCAAGAAAAAAAGAAAATTCTCACTGAATATGAAAAATGTAAGCAAAAATATTATTTTACTGACAAATTAGATGCCCTTGTAGCAAATAATGCATTGATATATATAAGTAACTGCGAAAAAGTAGGACATCATCATGTCAAAAAAGTGGCAGCGGATATGAGTGATTTCCTGAGAAAGTATATAGAAGAGTATGGTGATTTTTTAAACAAGGAAATTATAAAAAATTTCGCGAATATAATTAATCTTGATGAAAGTGATCCTAATCAATACTCAAATAATTTAGAAAAATGTTTTGAAGAATTATTTTCTCTCAATAAATATACACTTGTTTTCGAAAGTCTTCATGGAGTCGACAAAATAGAACACTGGCGACAACAGGTTTTTAATTATCATCGCCTTCTTGATAATAAAATGGAAGTATACAAGATTGATGGTATAAATAAAGAATTGAGAAGTACTTCAATTATCGCTCAGGCTTTGAGTTGTTTAGATCGTTTCTGTAGAGATAAGGAATTTCGAGCTTTACACAGACAATGTCAATTTGACATTGCCAAAAGATCTCGAGAAGCTTATGACAGGGCGATAGATTATGTATCGAAGGAGGATTATGCAAATGCAAATTTTGAACTAGATGATGTTATTGAAGATCCGCCCAATCAGAAATTTTTAACTCAAATTAAAAATAAGCTACAACCTTCTCTAAGTAAAGTGATAAAAAATACCAAAACTTGTGCACATCATCTTAATGGAAAAATCGAACGGGTGGAAGACAATCGCAATGAAATTCGAGAAATCAATGAAAATATTGAAAAAATTCGAATAGTTCTAAATGAACATCATATTATGGAATTGATCGATAAACCAACAAAAGAGGTTCTTCAAAATTTTGAAAATGAAATTAATGAAATTTTATCGAAAGCTATTTTAAATGCAATTGAAAATATTAAAATGTTTATTGAAGCTAATAGTTTTCTTGAGGCTGAACAATACATGAAAAATCTAAAACATGCACAGAATGGATTAGCTAGTTATTATACATCAAAATCGGTTTACAACAAAATAGAAGAATTAGAAATAAAATTGAATTGTCTAGTTAGTGATATTTTGCAACGTTATGATTTTTCAGATATTAACAATTATTCTAAAAACCCACCTAAAGACCTTATAACTCAATTAAAAAAGGTTATTTCAGGTGGCTACGCGAAATATACTCAGGTTCATACTTCTTTAATGGAGAAAATTCAAGACAATTTTAGTCGAGCTATAGATAAAGTACATCAGAATTCTTTAAACGATCGTTCTACTAAAATACGTTCAATCAAATATGCGTTTCACTTTTTACCAGAAGAATTAAAAACGATATTTCAATTTCAAATAGATGAATTGAATCAGTCGAATGTCGATCAAAATAGACCATTGGAGTTCGATTAGAAGAGATTTTTAAAAAAAAATAAAAATGAAGATGAAAATATCAGAGATATATGCAAGTATAAAAACAATAAAATTATTAGAATATCTCAAACTACCAATATGAAATTTGAAATTTTCCGTGTGACATTAGAAAAAAACCCAAAGCATATATTATCGACAGATATACATTTTATTTCATGGAGCATTTCGTATTACGTTTTTCTTAGCTAAGATATGAAATTTTCTGACAACACTAATGTGTCAACTCGTTCGATTCTTTTTTTGTCTTGTACTTATTCAAGCTATGTGATTTTTCCCCATTTTTATTTTTTATTTGTTTGTTTTTTTTTATCATAATGATTTGTTTTATTCAATGTTTTTTGTTCCTTTTTTTTCAATTATTTAGAATTTTTAATGATATTGTGCTCGTGTTATCGATATAATTTTCAATTTTTGTTCTTAATAAACCGGTTTTAAATGTGCTCTTAGATCTTGCCATCCTATTATTGATAACATCGTTTTGAGGTTGAGGTTGATACTTGTGAACCTTCCAGACGTGCTCATCCAGTTTTATAAAACATGATTTCCTTTCAAAAACGAAGGCGAGAAGGTCAAGTAGTTCCAATAAAATTTGATTTCGTACGTTCTAGAGATGAAGGTGTTCTTTCTATTTTGCTCATGGAAAAAAAGTCCCCAAGAAATTTTTTTTAATTAAAAGATTGTCTTCAACATATTCAGAAATAAACCTAGTAGTAATTTGATAACAAACATGAGTCTATGGGTATCCTTCCGCCATAATAACATAAGACCAAACATAGCGTAGGCGGCGGAACATTTTCAACTTAGGGTAGGCTCAATATTTCTTATAAGATCCTCACCAACAGGCCAAAAATAGGAGGGACTGAATAAATTTTTCTGCTATACTATATTCAAATCAAACACGGTCAATATTCTTGTATGTTGCACTTACATTTTGTTATGTATAATATTAGTACAGATCAGAGAAGAATTTGAAACTTATGGTAAAGCGTGTATCCAAAACATCACGTAAACTTCTGGCTTCGTTGAATATCGATTTTTGAATAAAACGCATCGGATTCAAAATTTTCACATTCGAATCCAGGTATGAGGTCTTCATGCTTTCAATGAAATTTTCTGTTTTGAATCTCATAATCATCTCACAGATATGGAACTCTTTTTTCAATCAGAATATTGGTGACCAGCACAGCTTACACAAATTGAAACAATATTGACGGTAATCTTATGATAATCTGTGAGATTCTCGATCCATCAAATCGTCAAATACTCCTTTCCATACTATATATATGTGGACAGAATAATCACTAAATCTAACCTTGGTCTGGTAAGGGGATGAGAAATCTCAAGTAAAAAAAACATCCTTACTGTATCTTGATATCGTGATAAGGAAATGATGAGAATGATGAGACGGAGGTTTATTGGTAATAATAAAAATGAGGAAAAATATAACAAAGAGGATGAGGAAAAAGAGGGGATGATAACAACAGGGGAAAACATCAACAACAAGTCAAGAGCTATGGCCACGCGTCAATCACTGAGAGGAGAACAGAAAAAACCAATAAAAAGGAATGAGAATGGTTTGCGATAGTAGAACGATCTCTATTGACGCTTACGTAATCAAGTTAAAACTAGCTCTTACTCTCAGCTAGAACCGTCAGATCCAAATTTGGGGACTTGAGCCCGAATTCGGATACAATCAACAGAAAATTCCAAATCCAGAAATGGATCCGGAGTCAATCGACTCCTGAACCGATTCAATGTCCTACAATTTTAACAGAGGAGTTTTTCATATGTATTATCACAAGAAACCAGAATAATAGCGACACAGCAGTGTTCACAGAGAGTCTCTGTAATTTCGCCAATTGTATATTCGCCATTGGCGAACTTCCTCACGAATTTCGCCAATTGTCGAATTACTAGTGTGACATTCGCCAATAAATAAAATATTCTCACATTACTGTGTTCACCAATTGGCGAACTTCCTCACGAAATTCGCCAAATTGGCGACTTACTATTATGACATTCACCAAATTGGCGATTTACTAGTGTGACATTCGCCAATAAATAAAATATTTTCATATTACTGTGTTCGCCAATTGGTGAATTACTAGTATCACATTCGCCAATTGTAATCATCGAAGGTACGACTTATTAGTTTTGTGCAATCATTTTTATTTCAAATAAATCAAGAACTGTAGTAAGGGTGTGGGTGTGGGTGTGGGTGTGGGTGTGGGTGTGGGTGTGGGTGTGGGT